ATTGACCAATTAGTTTAATTGGTAAGGTTTATATTTTAATAAATTTCTTGGTTCACTATATGTAAGTAGATATTGCCATGGTCAGAGTACCATGTGTTAGTATTTTCCAAAATACAATGCAAACAAGCTCCTTTTGCTTATTCAGTTAATGCGTAATCTAGAGATGAAAGGTTGAGTTCTTAGAAGCATTTGATGTGTGACCTATGAATTTCAGTGGATTAATGTTCTATGTGATCTTGCTGCAGGAGAAACGCCATACAAGTTTCGAATACGGGCGGTATGGAAATCCAACTACAGTCGTTGTGGAGGAGAAGATAAGGTTTGGCCTCCTCTTTTTTATCATATTTTCTATTGTACTTTTTGGCAGTTTAAATGGAGTTGAAACATTCATAATGCAATCTTCCTTTGGTTCAGTGCACTTGAGGGGGCTGAATCGACCCTGATTATGGCATCTGGTATGTGTGCTAGCACGGTCATGCTGATGGCATTAGTCCCTGCCGGGGGACATATGGTAACAACAACAGATTGCTACCGGAAAACTAGGATTTTCATTGAGAATTTTCTGCCTAAAATGGGAATCTCGGTATGGCTTCAATTTGTTCTTGTTTCTTTTCTGTCATTATATTGTTTTTTGAGGATCTTGTTGAGGGGAATGCCAGGGTTTTGTACCATTCTTGTTTTATAGAGGGCAGTGATGTCGAAATTGCTTCTACCAATTTTTATGTATATCATTTTTTAAACATTACAACTATACCAGAAGTTACAATCATGATCAATTGTTACATCCATATATTACCAAATAAACTGAATTATCCTACTAACAAACCAGAATACATATAAACAGTTATATTCAAATACCAAACCCACTCTTTGTGGAACTTGAACTTGGTACCTCAAAGTTCCCAAAGTCTCCTCCTTGCCATTAAGCTAAGCCCCAAGGCCTCATCAATAGCTTCTACCTAAAGAGTGATGCACATGCACCTAAATGATGTAATTTGTAGAGTAAAAGTGCAATAAGAACATTGAGAAATGCAATATTTAATTGAGTTTTTCGCTATCATCAATATGCAGGTTACTGTTATTGACCCCGCAGATGTGGATGGCCTGGAGGCTGCACTCAGTGAGAACAAAGTCAGTGGGACAGAAAGTGGTTCCTTTTTTTTCTAGATTTGTCTTTTATGTTAACTTTGGAAATGACAGCTCATCCTGAATTGAAAATGAATTATGATTCTGTTCAGGTTTCTCTTTTCTTTACCGAGTCCCCCACAAACCCTTTCCTAAGATGTGTTGACATAGAAAGAGTTTCAAAGATGTGTCACAGCAAAGGAGCACTTGTCTGCATTGATGGTACCTTCGCTACACCTCTTAACCAGAAGGCCCTGGCCCTTGGCGCTGATCTTGTTTTGCACTCTGCAACAAAATTCATTGGTGGCCACAATGATGTAAGCACTTGCTCTTGTTAATTTAATCGGTTTTGAAATCCATTCTTGCTGCCAGTCATCGTAAATTCAAACAATAAATGTGTAATTCTCCATTTCACAGGTTCTTGCTGGTTGCATAAGTGGTTCAGAGAAGTTGGTTACTGAAATTCGTACGTTGCATCATATTTTGGGTGGTACTCTCAACCCGGTGAGTTGTCCTTACCTGAATCTTGATCAATTAGTTTCAGTGTCTCATGTTGTCAAAACATACATATTTGTCTGCCTTAGCCCTGAAGTAGATTTTATTTGGTAATTATATTCGGTCAAGAGTGCTGGATTTAAAAGTGGTTGGGCAGACTTCTCGTCTAAGAAGAATATGTTGTGTTATTTTAAGAATGATGCATTAATGACTTTCACTTTATTCTTCAAAGATTTGTGCCCTAGTACATAGTTCTCCATTATTTGTGGCAAGGTTCACAAAGTAATATGTTTTTTGCTACATATTAACAGAATGCCGCTTACCTAATCATCAGAGGCATGAAGACGCTACATCTTCGTGTACAGCAACAGAATTCAACAGCATTAAGGATGGCCGAAGTTTTAGAGGCACATCCTAGGGTATGTGTTTCTGTGACATTCCCTTTTCTGTTATCGTTTATGTACAGTTCATTTAATGCTATTAAAATAAGAACCATGAATGGGCAAAAAATCTAAAGAAACTGAATTCAAACTTTTAAAAAAGAGTGAAGATGAGCATGTGAATCAAGTTGGCTTCGATTGGTTTTTGGCGTTTCAATGATTGTTTCCAACCCTTGAAACGCCAGTGGTAATGTGATAGTACTGTTAATATACTTTCAATTGATGTGATAGTTCTGTTGCATCTGATTCCCAGCGGTAATATGCCTCAACTGTGGGATGCATGTTGTGTTTGCATGGTATAACTGGTTGAATGACCACCTAGCTTTTGGTGTTGTCGTATTTTATAATTATGTATTTATCTGATTTAGCATTTATGACTTTCAATCTGGAAAATTACCTATTCTCTTGGCTTATTAAATATCAATGGCAGGTGAGATGCGTGTATTATCCAGGTTTGCCAAGTCATCCAGAACATGAAATTGCCAAGAAGCAAATGACTGGCTTTGGTGGTGTGGTCAGTTTTGAGGTTTGTTTTACTTTAAATACTTCAAACCTTGAATACCTTGGAAATTCATGTTTAATATCTTTTTATACTTCCATTTGGTTTTATGCATGCAAAAATTGTTTGAAGTTGATGTCTGCTAAATCATTCAGGTGGATGGAGATTTGATGACCACCATCAAGTTTGTTGATGCATTGAAGATTCCATACATTGCTCCATCCTTTGGTGGCTGTGAGAGCATTGTCGATCAGCCAGCTATAATGTCCTATTGGTATGGCACTGTTTCCAGTTTTATGTATAGATCCGTACTGCTTGAGTTTATCCCACTAATGAACTCAAATATTTAATGCATCATAAGCTTATTAGTGCAGATTGATGTCAATTTATGTTATTAAATAGGATTGTTAAGTATTTGCTAGGGACTTTGGAGACAGATGGAGAGCGGTATCGTCCGTGTGTGTGTGTGTGTTTTTTAACATGATATGTTCGAGGGTTATAATCCCTGTGGATCATGAAACAGGGATCTTAGCCAAACGGAGAGGCGCAAGTACGGGATTGAGGATAACTTGGTTCGTTTCAGCTTCGGAGTTGAAGACTTTGAAGATTTGAAGGCTGATGTACTGCAGGCACTGGGTAGCATATAATGGCGCGCTTTTGAGGATTTATGGGTTTAGGTTTTGAAACTTAGTTTGTTGTTTCAAGTGGCGTTGAAGTTTCCTGGCATTAATAATTTGGAACTTCGTTTGTAATCCCATCAAGGGGGGGGGGGGGGGGGGCATTTTCTGTTGTATTAATGTTTGTTTCCGCCATCAAAATTGAACACAAAAAACAGCAACAAGCTTAAGCAGGAATATCAGCTACTGTTTGGACAGAACAAAAAATTATATGATATGAAAGATAAGATGAAATTAAATATATTATGAAATTATTTTAAGCCTGCTTTTGTTTCATATCAGAATTTTCAAAAATATTAGATTTTTAAATCTTAATAGTTTAATAATGAAATTTAATATTAATATTAAATACATATTAATAATATTATTTTTGTTACATTAAAATTAATAATATCAATTTGATAGAATGTATAAATTTTAATTACTAAATTAATTTTTATATAATTATTTTTGTTAAGTTAATTGTCGAACTTAATAATAAATGATAAAAACATAAATAAAATGTAAATTTGAAAACATTAAATGAATAAAACCTAAACAACAAAATAGATGGTGGCAGAATATATATATAATTCACCCTACTTTTTTTTTCAGTTCTAAATTAAAAGGAAATTAAATCAAAATTATCGATGGTTTTACCAAAATCAAGGACGATTACCCACAACTTTCAAAATTAATGTATCATTCGTGTTAAATCTATAAATAATTTCTCATGACATCATTTCCTCACTTTTTTTAATTTCTCCTAAATTTGTCAATAAAAATTATCTATCATATTTATCCCATTTCCTTCATAGTTCACAGTTATAATTACACAAAATATTTTAATATATTTTATTTTCATCATTGATTTTTTAAAAAATTATTTTTTATTATTATATTTTTAATTCATTTTATTTTGATAATTGAGTCATTAATTTTTATTCTTTTACTGACATCATACTTTAATAAAAATTTAATAAGTTCATGTTAGTGAACCTTTAAATGTGCGACATCCTCTTAAACAACGTATCTCCTTAAATCAATAGTGGTTTATAAGAATTTACTAATTATTCATTCAATAAACGTATCAGAAATATATTAAAATATAGATTTATAAGAATTTTATACTCGATATATATATATTATCTCAATGTATCTAAGAATAATTTTGAAGCTCAATTAAATTTAAAAACGTATTCAACACACAAAAATTGGTTAAATAATGACAAAATTAAGAGACGAGATATTTTTCATTATTATTATTATTATTCTTATTATTGAATAAAAAATATATTTTATTATATTATTTTCAGGATTTAATGAAAAAATTTATTAAAAAAAGAAAAAAATAATTATTTGAAGAAAATGATAAATGTGAAAGACACATGATTTTCTTTATGGTCATAGGACTTAATTTTTCAGAAACAATAAATGTTATAGATCCAACAAACAAAAATACAGTTACTTTCTTAATATTCCATAGCGTTTTTTACATAAAAATCACCATAACATAAATTAATTACGTATCAAATACCATTTTAAAAAATGTTATAGATCTAACACCCATCTCAGAAAGACACGGATGATGATCCGCGCCTTAGCCCACGTGAAGCCACATTAGCATAAGGCATATATCATCACTCGTGTCTTTCTGCAAATGATATTAGATTAATAAATTTTTTTGAAACGGTACCTGACAAGTAATTAAAATCTATTAGGGTAATTTTTTTGATAAAAACGTCTATTTTTTTTAGTTTTTGGATAAATTATAGTACCATTCTATCCCATACTCTAAACACTTGGAAAAGAAAAATCCCCATTGAAATTGTGGAAGAAACATCAGTTTTCAAATGAAATTTGGTAAAGAGTTCAAGACCCATCTACAGGAGACTTTACCCGAGTGGAGGGACAAATTCCTTTGTTACAAACCCCTCAAAAAGCTCCTCAAAAACATTCCTTCAACCCCTTCATTTGATCCCAATCTCCCCCATGATCAACGATCTGTATTTGCTGACGCCACCAACACCGTTGTTACGGTCGTCGATTCTGACCATCAACAGCCTCCGCTTGATTCGCAAGATTGGTTTGTTAGAATTCTGAACGAAGAGCTTGAGAAATTCAATGATTTTTATGTCGATAAAGAGGAAGAGTTCGTTATTCGCTTTCAGGTTTCAACCCTTTTTAATCACTCTTTTATCTTCATTTTTGGGGTAATTTATATGATCTCGTGTTAAGAATGGGTAAATGGTTTATTGGGTCTTTCATAAATTTTTTTTTCATTTAACGTGAATTTCTTTCTTGACAGGCATAACAATGAAGTTAAAAACTTGCTTTTGATAACATAAGATCTAATTAAAATTCTTTCAGGTGTAAACAGTTTGCTTTTACTTTATAAAATGTTGGGTTTTTGCTAATTTTGAACTAGAACAGTTGTTTGCCTCCAGAAAAGTTTAATTGTCACTTAGAATTTAGAAACTCTGATTATTGCCATAGGTAAAATAGTTTTGGAATGTGAGGTTTCTAACTTCCATGTCAATGTGATTCCTCTGTGTTTTGTAATTTTATTTCCAAATCTGTGCTTACAATTTTTGGAAAGGTTATTGTTTTAGTAGTTGGTCATATATGATGAAGGTTTAAATTTTTTTCAGCAAATGTAGCAATCCAGAATCAGTATTCAATCTGTGTGAGATTTTAACTGCATATTGTTGTTTGCATCTAAGTTTCCACATATTTTGAGTGTTCTTTGTTAAGTTGAGAAAATCTCCAAGAAAAGCCATTTAACAATATTCACTGGATATATGATTTATGTTTATTTTCTGAAGTTATTTAAGTATATACCTTCTTGTCGTTTGGGACTGGTGTAGCACATGAATATTATTGGCACATCATATATTTTATATAAGCTGCTTCCTTGGGTTCATTTCTTTCGATGATGCCAAATCGGTTTAGTGAATCTAGTGAAGTCATTCAAGAAATCTAAATTGGTCTATCGTTTGTAATATGCTATTTGCTTATTGAATGAGTGTTATCTCTTACCAGTTCTCACCATGGTCTTCTTATTCCCAACTATAAAATGGCCTGCAAATCTTTTCATTCTATTTTAACTGTGTGTATCAGGTGATTGTTTCTTTCATGTTCTAGTTAGCATCTATTACATTAAAAACAAAAGATTGAAATCTTGTGACATGGTCTGAAAGAATACTAATCTCATTTGATTGTTTCCCAGTTGTTTATTTGGTTCCCTTTATATTAAAAAAGAAAGAAAGAAAAGAAAACACTTTCTACTTTAGGTCATGGTGCCTGAGAGCTATGTTACTCAGATATGGATGTAAGTGTCAAACATGGGTATATGTCCGACTTGGTTATGTTCTATTTCCCCCTAGTTTCCATGCATTTGGAGAGGCCTTGGAGGATCATATTCCCATACTAATGTCTGTGTATGTGTTGAGCACCAGTACTTTGAGAAAAAAATGAAGAGTTGGAGTAACATATATTAAGAGAATGAATCCTTGAAATCTTATACTGTATTTTTTTTTAAGATTCTCAGTTCAATAATCTCCGTTGGAGGTGTTGCAACTCATTATTGTTGTATTTTTTTTAATTTTTTTTATGCATCCGTGACTTTTATCACAGGAGTTGAAGGAAAGAATTGAACAAATTAAGGAGAGCAGTGGGAAAGGTGGAGTTTTTGCATCAGAGAGTGAATTTAGTGAAGAAATGATGGATATCCGCAAGGATCTCGTCACCATTCATGGAGAGATGGTGCTTCTTAAAAATTACAGTGCCCTCAATTTTGCAGGTAAGGAAATTACATCAGAAATGTATTTGCACTATATGTTGAGTTCAAGTTTCTGAATCGTTTCCATATTTCTGCTTCAATAGGGATTGTTAAAATCTTAAAGAAGTACGATAAACGAACGGGGGGTTTGTTGCGACTACAATTCACTCAGCTTGTCCTTCACCAGCCTTTCTTCACAATAGAATCTCTTACAAGGCTAGTTCATGAGTGTGAAGCCAATCTCGAGCTTCTCTTTCCACTGGAAGCTGAAGTCATTGAATCTACTCCACAAGGAGAACCAAACCCACTGTTACATAACACTGCAAATTGCTCAGAGGAAGCTTCTTCGTCGACTCTGGGAGAGGAAACAATAGACATTTATCGTAGCACTCTGGCTGCAATGAAAGCAATACACGGGCTTCAGAAGGCAAGCTCCACCTATAATCCTTTATCATTCTCGGCTTTCCTCAAGAACAAGGATGATGACAGTGGTGCTGTAACAGCTGAAAATTCTGCTTCAGACTCTGCTGCCACATTGCAAAAGGGTAAGGAGTCTGATAAAGAGGATGCGCAATCTGTGCGCCGACACTAGGTTTTCAGTTTTCCCAGGTACTTTTATCTTGTACTTCCTTTTGTTTCTTTGAACAACTGACAAATTAATAAAGTGTTTGAAGCTGTGTTTTGCAATCAGTTTCATGGTAAATTAGCTGGGTTCGAGATTGTAATTTGTAACATTACCGATTATTGTTGGTTTTGAATGTTTTACTTATTTTTTTCATTTGGTATAAATTTTAACATCAAATCTTTACCCTTCCCAATGGTTAAAAGTTCTTATCGGAGGACAAATCGGTGAGATCTCTAAGGCGCACATGCCATTGGTCGTTTTGCACTTCTATTTTCATCAATAGAGATCACTAAATGATTACCATCCCGAATATTCGGTGACCCGAGGCTCTTGACCCGTAACCATCGGTTCAACATTAAAGCTGCTATCACCCACAAGACCCCCCCCCCACACTTGGACATTTTTCTCTTTCAAAGGCATCTTCGACGATTGGCCGCCACTATCCAATGGCCATAAAGATCGTCACCCACCCCTGAAGGACTAGTCGTTGGAGGCAAGTGAGTGGTGTTTTCCTCCTTCGGGATAGCTTATTTTGCCATGGTCGCACCACATAAGTCCTAACAGTGCCCATATATTCCACATTTGGAAGAAATATTTTGCAAACCTTCACACTCTAATTGTTGCACCAATCCATCTACTCCAATACACGGCAATAGAGGTTTGTTAAGATCCAAAGCCACTGTTAATAGCACAAATTTCCCTCTTTTGCCTGCATTTGTATTGTAATACACTTTGGTAACTTTTTTGATCCAGCAGCAATCAAACGAAAAGAGATTTAGGGGCCGTTTGGAAATGCTTATGAAAGTGCTTTTGATCCAAAATTCTGTTTGAGACATAAGTATTCACAGACAACTAATTTCTAGCTAAAATTTCGATTTTAAAAAGTTATTGACACAAACCAAGTCGTTGGAAAAATGATGCTTTTGCGATAGACATGCCTGTTGAAAAAATTCTTTTAGAGAAGCATTTCTAAACGAAGTATAATAATGATAAAGAAGTCATGACAATCGAACTCAAACAATGACCTGATATGGCTATCCAAAGTACTAAAATTCCTGTTCCAGGATTGCACCGTCATGTAGCTACTAAAGATCACCTTTGACCCTTCCGTTATTACCTTCGTGTAGTCACTTTATTGTTCTAGGCTAACTAGATATTACTCATTTTCTGAGATTAAAGAGTTTAAATTGATCCTGAGGTTGCTAGAGTAATTTAATTTTATTCTATAGTGCCCTACATAACCGATTGTCTTCCCCAAGAGTCGAATGATTACTCTCTTTCGCATATTTAGTAAATGGGGTCATGGACCTGATTTGAGAATTGAATGACAAGGTAAGGATCGCTCCTATCAACGACTACATCAACGTCTTGAAGCGCAACGTCGTCATCTCCAAAGTCAAGACTTCCGGTCTGTCCTCTCGAAGTTCTGACTGACATAACGGCAAAGGATCTCGCCCCCCCCCCCCGGTCCGTTGGTTGCGATAATTGTTGAACACCCGCATCCTGCACAGCCTCGCCCATGGCAACATCATAACCATCAGCCAGGCCGTCACTGGCAACAGAGTTCCGATCTTAGAACTCTGACAACACATAGTGGAAGACTTTGGTTGGTGCTGACATTTTATCTGTTGCTTGTTTCCTTTCGGAAGTTGTAACATTGAGCGTTGACACAAAGTGGGTTGAGAGCATGAAGCACAAAGTAGATGGTTGGTTGCTTGCTTCAAGAAGAGAGAATGATCCCAAAAAACGTGGTTTCCCACATCTTCACAAAACTTCAAACCAAAACCCTCATATGCAGTGCCATTTTTAAGATGACAAAATAGGTTTAGAGAGAAAGAGACTACGAAAATTTAGCAGTGTAATTTTGTTGTCTGTTTCTGATTGTTATAATCATAACAACAAAAAGAGGGGAAGAAAAATGGAGAAGTGGGGGATCAAACCCTGTGCTTCTCTCATGCGAGCGAACGCTCTACCATTTAAGCTACACCTTCAAATAACATTTTTAATTATTGTTTTTTCAGAAACTTCTAAAGGATGTCAAATTAAATATTGATATTTTTAAGGGTAAATTATATCATTGACCACTTAACTATAATCCTTTTTCATTTCGACCACTATTTTTGAATTCTTGTCAATCAAACTATCCAACTATTTTAATACATTCAATTAAATATTGATATTTTTGAATTCCGTTAACATTTAACGGAAGTGCTGACATGATAGTTAATAAAAATGGTATAATTACATATTTGATCACTCTTACTTGTATATTCTATCAATTTGGTCCTAATTTTAATAAATTAAAATAAAATTAATCTTCCAATGGAATGCTACCATGTGTCACCATTCAATTTGATGATAAAATTTAATTTAATCTACTTATTTAATATATTTATTTTCTACCAATAAGAGGGTGGCAATACCACCCTCTGGTGGAAAAAAATCAAAGAACAAAGAGAGGGGCAAGGGAATCAAACTCAGGCTGATTGGATAAGAAGAAAGAAGACCAACCATCAACTAGACTAATTGTTGGTTTCAAAATATACTACATAAAATATATAGCTTATATCTAAGTCAAGAAAAAGTAAAACTTATTGTTGGAATCCAACCGAAGCTAACTTTTAAAATATATTTAAATATATTTTATCTTAACATTAACATTAACATTAACATTAAAAATAAAAATATAACTTTATTTTTATGCATTTAAAATATATTGAAAAATATGTTTTTATTTTTATGCATTTAAAATATATTGAAAAATATATTTTTAATGTTAAGATATGAATTAAATTTAATATATGAATTTAACATACAAAATATATTCTTTAATGTTAAGATATGAATTAAATTTAACATATGAATTTAAGATAAAAATAAACTTTATTTTTTAATATTAGCTTGGGTTTTATTCCAAACAATAAGCTTTAATTTTCTTAGTCTTAGATATAAGATATATATTTTATTTAGTAGCTTTTGAACGAAACAATCAGGTCGAGTGGCTGGTCTTCCTTCCTCTTATCTAATAAACCTGGATTCGATTCCCTTAGCCCCATTTTTGTTCTTTGGTTTTTTTTACGCCCGAGGTGACACACGTCACCCTATGATTGGTAAAAAATAAATATACTAAAATAACATTAATTAAATTAAATTTGATCATCAAATTGAATGGTAACACATGGTAATATCCCATTGGAAGATTAATTTTATTTTAATTTATTAAAATTAAAACTAAATTGATAGAATATATAAGTAAGAGTGATCAAATATGTAATTATATCAATTTTACTAACTGCCACGTTAGCACTTCTGTTAATGGCAAGTGGCCTGATTGAATGCATTTAAATAGTTTGGTGGTATGATTAACAAGAATTTAAAAATGATGGTCGAAAAGAAAAGGGGTTATAGTTAAGTGGTCAATGGTATAGTTTACCCTTAATTTAAACAAATCATTGGTTCCGTTGGTTCGATTATAAGAATGGGAAAATGAAGACGATATATAGAGATTCTATGTCAACCAAATACCAAAACAATGAAAAGAATATACACATCTTGCATTCAGGGGATAGAAAGAGCAATAATTTTAACATCATCCAAAATGTTAATGTTTAGCAGTTGGTTATTTCAATGTCAGGTATAGGATATGGTCACCAGAAATCACAACAAGAGCATGATCCCTCGTTAAAACAATGAAACCGGTTCCAATCTTGGACTACGATTTCCCGATCATAGAGCTTCGAAACAATCTTAATGGCAGTCATGGTATATTCGTAAGTTGTTGAAAATATAGAGGTTTACCAGGCTATGTGCTTACAAGTCCAAAACAGACCGCCAGCTTCTCACTGTGTGTCAACATCTTTTCGTCCTATTATGATTCAAACTCCTAAAAATAGGATAAAATTTTGTTAGGATTCAAACTCTTAAAAATAGGATAGAGTTCTACTATGATTTAAACTCCTAAAGATAGGATCCACAAGCACTATAAATAGCCATTGTAACTCACTATTGTAACACACGATTTACAGCAAAATACAGAGAAAAACACAGAAAATACAAAGGCAAAACTATTGTAAACGATTCAAAAAGGAAATAAAAGGTAGCATTTTTTTTGTTTCGTTCATTTCTCGCATGTGCACGTTATTTTTTTGAGATTTGGTTCGAATAACCCAAAACGTGGGTTGCACCGATGATAAAAAATGGGTGGGATTTCGAAGTTTTGAACCTAGATCTACCCTGAGGCGTGTTCATTTTTTATCCCCCTAATGCGTAATATCAACGTTAATTGTCTTTCAAATTTGACCCCAATCTTTATTTTTTTATATTAGTTCTTTTATTTATTGTATAGATATTTTTATTTATTTATTATTTACATTATTGTCATTATATAAATATATATACGCATATTTTTTAAATGATTTTCAATTGATTTTTTACACTGTATATTACTATTATATATACATATATTTTTTATTTATTTATATTCATTTGGTTATTTTTTAATACTATATTTATTATTTTTATATATGTATATACTTTTTTTAAATATTTTACTTATAAGCATATTATTACTATATATATATATATATATATATATATATATATATTGTAATTATCTTTATTTAGTTTTTTTTACTTTATCATTATACATATATATGTATGTTTTTAATAGTTTATTTATAAGCCAATTATCATTATATGTATACTTTTATATTTGGTTTATATATTTATTTATTTTTGTTTTTGATTTTTTTATTTATATTATATTATATTTTCATATTACTATTATTATTGTTATGATTATTATTTTTCTATTTTACTCATTTATATATATATATATTAATATTTCATTTATTTATTTATTTATTTATTTTTCCTTTTATTGTTTTTACTTATTTTTATTCTTCATTTTTTCATTTATTCATTTTTTCCCTTTAACACATCTTATGATTTTTTAAGAGTATTTTCGTCAATTAATCAGAGGTAAGTAATTCATGATCAAATTTTATCTTTTAATTTAGAATTACAATTTTCTTAATTAAGACAACTAGAAATTACGTAGTACCGAAAGGGCGGTTCAA